AAATTGAAAATCCTGACATTAACCCACACACTTATGAACACCTGATTTTCAACAAAACAGCTAAAAGAATACAATGGGGTGAGGAAAACATCTTCAACAAATGATGCTGGTACAACTGGATGAGGGTGTGTAAAAGACTGCATATAGACCCATGTCTGTCACCATGCATAAAACTCAAGTCCGAATGGATCAAAGATCTCAACATCAATCCAGCCACACTTAACCTCTTAGAGGAGAAAGTAGGAGGTACCCTTGAACAAATTGGTATAGGAGATCACTTCTTGAACATAACTCCAGGGGCACAGACACTGAGATCAACAATTAATAAATGGGACCTTTTCACACTTAGAAGCTTCTGTAAGGCAAAGGACACAGTGAACAAGAACAAGCGGCAGCCCACAGACTGGGAAAAGATTTTCACCAATCCTACATCCGACAAAGGGCTGATCTCCAAAATATACAAAGAACTCAAGAAACTAGTCAACAAAACACCAAATAACCCTGTTAAGATGGGGTACAGAGCTGAAGAAAGAATTCTCAATAGAGGAAATAAAAAAGACTGAAAGACACTTAAGAAAGTGCTCAGCATCCTTAGCTATCAGGGAAATGCAAATCAAAACAACTTTGAGATACCATCTTACTCCTGCCAGAATGGCTAAAATGGGAAACACCAATGACAACTCATGCTGGAGAGGATTTGGAGAAAGGGGAACACTCCTCCACTGCTGGTGGGAGTGCAAACTCATACAGCCATTTTGGAGATCAGTATGGCGGTTCCTCAGGAAAATGGGAATTAGTTTACCACAGGACCTGGCAACCCCCCTCTTAGGCATATACCCAAATGATCCACATCCATGCAACAAAGACATCTGTTCAACTATGTTCATAGCAGCAATATTTGTAATAGCAAGAACCTAGAAGCAACCTAGATGCCCCCCAATTGAAGAATGGATAAAGTAGATGTAGCACATCTACACAATGGAATACTACTCAGCAGAAAAAAAAATAATGGAATATTGAAATTCGCAGACAAGTGGATGGCACTTGAAGAAACCATCCTGAATGAGGTAACCCAGTCACAAAAAGAGGAACATTGTATGTACTCACTCATGTATGGATTTTAGACCTAGAGAAAAGGATCACCAACTATAATTCACACACCAGAGGAACTAGGACACAAGGTGTATTCTAAGAGATTCACATAAAGTCCCTCACAGAAGGTGGAAGGGACAAGTACCACAAAACACATTGGAAGTGGGGGGGGCAGTGAATGGAGAGAGAAGTAGGAGAAAGAGAAGGGGAGGAGAGGACAGCAGGTGAGACTAGGGAGATTGAGTCAGGGTAGGAATAGAAAACAGAAGAGAAAGAGAGAGGGGGGTTCCATTATTGGTTTGAAGAGAAAACTGAACCCAAAGAAAGTTCTAGAGACCTACAAGACTGCTGCCAACTAACATTTAAGCAACCTTGGAAAGGCTACCATAAATGCCCTTCCTGGATAGTGAGATCAACTACTAACTTATCCACCATCATGGAGCTCTCATCTAGTACCTGTTGGAAGCAGAAGCAAACACCCATACCTAAACACTGAGTCAAACTAGAAACCAGATGCAGAGAGAGAGGGCAAGACCAGGTTGCAGAAACAGAGAGACAGCTGACCTGAACAAGGAGGAGCTAATGGCCCCCCAGACTGATAGCTGGGAATCCAGTAAGGGACTGACACAGCCCCCCCCCCGAATATGGGTCTCAGCCAGAAGGACTGAGCAGTCTAAGGGACCTCAGACAGTGGAATCAGGATGTATTCCTGGTGCACAAAAGGACCTTTTGGACCCATCCCCCATGGAGGGTTACTGCTTTAAGCTAGAGACAGGAGAGAAATCCTAGTCCCTACTTCAAATGACTTGACAGATTTATATGACCCTATCTGGATCATATTGCCCTACATGTGGAATTGGGTTGGGGGAATGAGTGGGAAGGGTGGTCAGGGTGCATGTGAGGGAGCAGAGAGGGTAAGAGAGAAGGAGGGAGGGAGAGGGAACAGGGATCAACATGTAAAATAAAAAATAAAAAAAAGATCATGCTATCAAAATTGAAAGTCGAATTTTCAGCTTCATAAGGAAACACAATACCCAAGATAGTTATAATAATGAGTATTATTTAGCTGTTAAAAAGTAGGTCATAAAAGGATCAGGTATCTGGAGAAAGTAGAAATAAATCTTTCTGAGTAAGATAATGTAAACACCAAAAGACAAATATGGACTGCTTTCACTTAAATGTGGATATTAGCTGTTAATTCAGTGACAACCAAATTCTTATCTGTAGAACCACAGAGATTAGGTATAGAATAATGGATTTTGGGGTGAGGTGGCAGATAGATCTCCCTATGAAAATGAAATAAAATAGATGGCTATGGATGGATGGGGTTGGAAAGGGAAGTTTAAATGAGGAGAGGGAAGAAAGAGGGGGATTGATGGGGATTGTTGGTAAAGACAGCTAAAATTTAGGGACATTTGAGGAGCAATATAGAAATCCAATACAGTAGAATATATACTTATATGAAGGAAATCTAAATGAAATCACCAAATAATGGGGGAGGCAGAGCCCTAACAGGACATCTCTTGTCGCAAAATGAAGCCTTTAGTACTAGGAATGAATTGTATCTAATTCAGCTGTTGGCCAAAGTGGTCCCATGGAAACCCCAAACAATCCAGACTATTGCCAAGATTATAGGTTGCTCTATACAAACTGATGTCAAGACTATTTCTGAAGACACCTACACAACTCATTGAATCTGGGTAAGTTGAGATCGTGCCTACTTAGAACCTTCATGCCTACGTGCCTGGGTCTTTGGTAGACCTTTGCTACCAAAGGAGAAACATAAACACTGACTGACCCAGCTACAAAACCTTTGATCTACAATTTGTCCTGTCTACAAGAAATGCAAATGCTAGTGCAATGGTGGATTGTTACTTGGGGGAGTAACCAAACAGTATCTGATTTGACTTAAGTCCAAGTCATAAGATGGAACCCTTATCCAGCTCTACCTGGGCAACCAAAATCCTGAGAATAAATGGCCCAATAAAATGAGTCATAATGACATTATGCTGTACTTAGAGACCAGTGCCTTGCTAAAAAACTATCAGAGAAGCTTCCTCCTGCAGCAGATGGGAACAAGTACAGAGATCCATACACAGAGAATATGCAGAGAATGAGTGAACTTAGAACAATCAGCCATAAACAGGATGCCTCCTAATGCCTCACTGTATGGTTCAGGAAATGCTGTTGAAGAGGAGGTAAAAAGATGCGTGATCCAGGGATGGAGGACACCAAAGAAACAAAACCCTTTAAAACAAAAGGATTGAAGCACATGTGAACTCACAGAGACTGAGGAAGCTTGCACACACAGGTCGTAAGCTACAAGGTGTCTTAGACCTGAAAGAAGTGGGTATATGTCTCCACCCCTGACCCAGAAGTAATCTCCAATTGACATTCACTTTGCAAATGAAAATTTCATTTTCTCCAAGGAATTTTCATTGGGGAAACAAATTACTCTTAAAGGAAGATTATATGACTAGCAATGGATGGCCAAGAGAAGATAAACACAATGGCATTTTTGGAGGTTTCTTGCATAATATGTGGAATCTTTAAATCTTATTTTAGTTTTTAATTTATTTTATATTTCTCTCGTTTTATCCTATAAGCTCTTTTCATATGTATTATACCTTCCAGTTTATTTTTATTTTTATTTTGTATATTGATCCCAGTTCCCTCTCCCTCCCTCCTTCTTTCCCCGACCACCTCCCCCCCCCCACTCCACATGTAGGGTGATGCCATCCAGGAGGGATCATCTAAATCTGTCAAGTCATTTGAAGTAGGGACTAGGACTTCTCTCTTGTCTCTAGCTTAAGGGAGTATCCCTCCATGGGTGATGTACCTGCAAGGTCCTTTTGTGCACCAGGGATACATCCTGGTTCTATTGTCTGAGGTCCCTTAGACTGCCCAGGTCTTCTAGCTGAGACCCATGTTCAGGGGGTCTGAGTCAGTCCCTTACTGGATTCCCAGCTATCAGTCTGGGGGCCCATTAGCTCCTCCTTGTTCAGGTCAGCTGTCTCTATTTGTTTCTGCAACCTGGTGTTGTTCTCTCCATCTGCATCTGGATTCTAGTTTGACTCAGTGTTTAGTTGTGGGTGTTTGCTTCTGTTTCCAACAGGTACTAGATGAGAGCTCCATGATGGTGGATAAGTTACTCATTGATCTCATTACCAGGGAAGGGTATTTATGGCAGCCTTTCCACTGTTGCTCAAATTGTTAGTTGGGGTCAGTCTTGTAGGTCTCTGGACCTTTTTAAGGTTCAGTTCTCTCTCTCTCTCTCTCTCTCTCTCTCTCTCTCTCTCTCTCTCTCTCTCTCTCTCTCCTGTCTTCTATTTCTCCTCTGACTCAATCTTCCTAGTCCCACGTGCTTTCCTCTCCTAGTTTTTTCTCCTAGTTCCCTCTCCTCTCACTGCCCCCACCAGTTTATTGTTTTTATAAGTGGGTCCATTTCTTGTGCCTTCTCTTGAGCTCTTTTTCTTCTGTTTTGTCCTATTCCAATGTAGGTGTTTTGTTTTATATTATTATTTTTATGTTGTATTACCCCTTTGAAGAGTGTTTATTTTCTAATTAAGGATAGAAAGCCGATGGATTCAGATGGGAGGGGAGGTAGGGAGGAACTAGGAGGCATAAAGGGTCTGGTCTCTTCATATATATATGGTTTTTCAAGACAAGGATTCTCTGTGTGGACCAGACTTCCCTGGAACTCATTTTGTAGACTAGGCGGGTCTTTAACTCACAGAAATTCACCTGCCTCTGCCTCCCGAGTGTTGGGATTAAAGGCATGTGTCATCACCACCCAGCAGGATGATATATTTTAAAGAAAAACCCTAATGATAAGGAACAACAAGTTTGCATTTGAACCCTGTTAATCTAAACATTGTTTTCTTTCTTTCTTTTTTGTTTCCCTCCAGGTACAAAATGCTAGTGACTTGCTGATCAAACCCCTGGAAACTTTTCGGAAGGAACAAATAGGTTTCACAAAGGTATATTTTTTGTGTTAAATGTATACGTAAGTTCATTTTAGATACTAATTGAGTAGCTTGTTCGGTTACCACTCATTATTTTGCAATGATATAGTTGTTAACTATATAGAGATAGAAGGTGCTCAGATATCCCAGATAGCTGATTATCTTACTTTGGAATTTATCTTTGTAGGTGTTTGCCAGAGATCTTGGCATTTGAATTGCTTTGCTGCCTTAGTCCATGTGGGTGGTGTCATCTAATCCATTGAGTGTCTGAGTAGAACAAAGGGGTAGGTAGAGAAAGGTTGGGTTTACTACTAGACCACATGACTTGGGACATGGAACATTTGCTTTCTGTGTTATTGGTTCTTAGGTCTTTAAACCCAAATTGGAATGCACTGCAACAACACTTAAGCTATTGCACATTCTTATATTTGGTTGAGAGCCTAGCCTTTAACGGCTGAGCCATCTCTCCAGCCCATTGCACATTCTTATTATCCTACTTGTATTCCTTATAGTTTCATTGTAGCAGGCCACGAAACTTCTTAACCTCTACAATCACAAGAGCCAGCACCTTAGAATAAATTTCTGTCTTTCTCTTTCTCGTGCTCACTCTTGGTCTCTCTAATATAGAAATTAGTAGTAGGACGTATGTTGCTGCTGTAACTAGTGAGAGTAATGTGTCATGTAACAATGACAATGCTTTCTGAGAAATGCATCATTAGCTGATTTTATCATTATGTGACATCTTAGAGAATACATAACTAGATATATAGCATAGATCACTCAATGTAGTTTCTTGATACAGTTAGGAAATGAAGTAAGCACAGGGTATTATGCTTTCTAAGGCTTATACTCTAAAATAATGATAAAGGTATGCTGTGATAAATATATAACCGTGCAACATAGTTATTTTTTTTAATCAAGTGCTATACATATAATTGGATGTGATAATTTTTTTTGCGTTATTGATAGCACACTACACAGAATCACAGACATATCAGTGGTACCTGATACTATGATGCTACTATGGCTATAGTCATGGGGATGACAGAATTTTTTTAACTCTTTTATGATGTCCCTCCACTCCCTTCCCTTTTCCTTTTTCTTCTCTTCCTCCGTTTTCTCCCCTCTTCTTCTGTAACCTCTTCCTTTCCCTTTGTTTTCTTTCCTTTTTTTTCAGACACAATGTCAGTGTTGCTCAGGATGGATTCAAATCCCTAATCTTCATGTTTTAGGTTCCTGAATGTTGGGCTTACAGGCTTGTCCCAGCACACCCCATTCTATGAATAATCTTTTGGGGTCACTGTCGTATGTTACAGGAATAATAAAAATCCCAGACACAGATATTGTGGTTCAAGCTGAAAGATCAGAGAAGCAAAGCAGCTGGGTCACTAACTCTTACATTTACTTCAGACTGAAAGGGCTGTCTTGTCTTCAGCATGGTTGGAGAATAAATCTGAGACTGAATACTAAATGCCCCACTCCCATTTTGAACAGCACTGTCCACTTTCCCTGGTATGTTTGTCAAAACTGTTCCAGCCCACCTAGTGTTTGGTTCTGGTGCTACCTTTACGGTTTTATATATAGTTACATGCTACATAATAACATTTCTAATTTTGTAACAACAACTGAATATATGACTGTGGTGACATATTGTTTATGATCCAGTAAAGCCACTGGAGATCAAAATGCAAAGAAGCCACAGCGATAGAGCCAAGCAGTGATGATACACACCTTTAATCCCAGGACTCGGGAGACAAAGGTAGATGGATCTCTGTGAGTTCAAGGTCACTCAGGGCTACATTAGAGTGAATCAGTAGGATGCCTCCTTCCCATGCTTCCAGAGATGGGCTCTGCAGAAGGCATTGTGGGTTTCCCTCCTTCTCCACAGGAGGTAGCATATTGAACAGAGTTTAGGGCCAACCAACCAAAAGTTAAGAGTGATACTACCTTCTTAGGAGGTAGAAACCATGGCACTGACCAAAAAAGCTTATTTTGAACCTCAAGATCTCATGGAGTTTGATTTGTTTGATTTTCAACTTACTCGGGATCCATCAGTCCTCCCTTCTTTTACATTTGTCTTCTAGAATTCAGATGCCTATCTTATGCCCATACCTGCATATTTTTTTCTAAGAAGTGTATTTGTTATTTTGTCCCAGAGTCCTATGGCTGAAGATAATTGTATCTCAAGTATCAACCATATTCAAGTTATATATTCAAGTTTAAACTTTAGACATTTGAAGTGATGCTGGAATAAGTTGCCCTTAGAAGTTGAGATGAAGTTACTATATTTTGCCTGTGAGAAAGGAGTGAAGATGGTGAGGACTGGGGTAAACAAAATGTTACATTTCTGTCTCCTCAATTTCAGGTAGAGAAGTCCTAAACCCAGGAAATATTTCAGTTTCCTTTTAGGATTTTGGTTGCTCCATTTAGAAAATGAGAAGCATGAAAATAATAGCCATCACTGGGGTAAATGCTTTGCATCATTTCTGTATCCACAGCAATCCTGAGGCCATCTGACAGTGAGCTAAATGGAACATATACAAGAAAAATAAAATGATAAAAGTTATAGAGTTACTATCAATTACCTGAATTGGGATACAAGTATCTTTTTAGCTTCATAATTTACTCCTTTGCAAGATAGGATCTCATTATGAAGATCAGACTGGCCTGGCATATCTTTCTGTTCTTCCCATTTCAGCCTCTTTAATGTTGGGATTACAAGTGTACACTACCACATCCAACTACATCCTTCTATTAAACTATGCTGTTTAGATCTGTGCTGCCCATCAGTTTTAAAGTGTGTGTGTGTGTGTGTGTGTGTGTGTGTGTGTGTGTGTGTGTGTGTGTGAATTTAGAGTCTATGTAGTGTATAGGCAGGACTCTAGGTTGGTCTCTTAACTCTTGATTCTCCTGTTTTAGAGTCTTGAGTAGTGGGCTTATAGTTATGCACAATTGTGTTCTGTTTCACTTACCCTTATGACAGCCACCAGATATTTTAAGTCTGAAGTCCTCAATATTGTTAGCTTCATTTTACATACTTAGAAGTCACAGGAGGCTAGTGGCTATTTTATTGGAAAGCTCATACATAGACCCTGTTCATTGTCATTGAAAGGCTTGCTGCACAGCTAATTTCAGCTTCACTCTTCCTGGATATCTTTCATTACTCAATTTATTTAAAAAATGAATACTTTTAGTTTAATTTTTTCAGCCTAGTGTGCAAAAATATTCCCAAGGTGTATCCAGCATGTAGCCAAAGTATCCTTTCCTTTATAGGTTAAAATATATCATTTTGACCAAGCATCCAGTTGTAATTTTTGAAATAAGAATACACCTGACAGTGGTTATTATTGGAATACTATGGCAATCAGTTTGGATAAAGAATGTGAAAGTTTCAGGAAAGAGATTTATTGTCAGGTCAATTAGAATCTTCAAGGTCATTGATATATAAAGACTATGAAATGGAAGGTTGAGATTAGTTGCCTAGAATATGTGAGAACCTGGGCTCTATGCCCACTCTTCACATAAAAAGGAAAATGAAAATGAGAAGTGCCAAAATAATTAGTGGATGTATTCCTGCTTATTATCAGGACTGAAGCTGATGAGTATTCAAGCATAGTGAGTAATCTAGATAGCCCAGAAATACTGTGTCCTAGTAGTCTAGATAGCTCAGAAATACTGTGTCCTACTAGCTTTATCTGGCATGTAATTAGTATTAATACTTATTTGGGGGAAAGCTATAACTAAAGGACACAAAAAGCTTTGAAATTACAGATGTGATAGAAAAATTATTGTCATTTGTTAAATTAAATGACACTGAAATGGGCCATGTGTTTTGAAACCCACTTATCTGACTTGCTTTCTGGATGAGACCAGAAAAATGAAAGCAAGGGTATGCTGTGGTGGATGACCATCTATCATACAGAAAAGGGCATTTCATGGTATGTTTTGTGTGTACCAGGCCTACTAGTGTGATGATTTTATAGACACTGTCTTCCCACAGCAGACTGAAATAGGACTTAAAAATTAATGTCCTAGTAAAGTAACTGAGACTCTAAAGGGTTAAAACACCCACCAGTCTTTTTCCAATCCTAAAGACTCTCTTTATCACTAGGGCTATCCTGCACTGCTATAAAGACCGATTCGTTGTAAGAGTTATGTCTCACATAGACTACCTGGAATTTTCCCAATAATGAAATTTAGTGTAGAGGAAATTGCACTTAACTAAGTGACAAAAAATGCTCTACCCCTTGAACTATATCCCCCTTTCAAAGTTTTTGTTCTGAGACACTGCTTCAATAGATTGCTGGCCTTGCATTCCCTCTGTAGTCTAAGCAAGATTAAAACTTGTGATCCCACTCCCAGCCCCCAGCCTTAACCTTGTTGTAGTAATTCTTGGTAGAGTATTCTGTGACTTAATTGGACTGACGCTGAATACACAAAACTCTGTTGTAGCTTCACCAGTAGTTGCTAGGTACTGTCACCATTGACAGAGAAACACAGCAAGTGCTACTTACCACCAGCATCTTGAAGAAGTTACATCCCACTTAGGAACTGCTATTCAGGTAAAAAAAATGACTATGTTACAGAAAACAATTTTAGGGTGAATAATTATAAGACTTATAATTATAAGTCAATATTAGTATATTTTAAGTATTTTTATAGAGACATATATTAATAAGATAGAATATGATCCTATGACAGGGCCTGGCCTTCTCCAGAGACTTACATTTCCTTATAATGGCTATTTATATGATCTTGGGAGTAGTTGAAAGAATGAAATGGAATAAGAAATGGATGTATAATGATATTTTAATGAAAATAAGGTCACCTTACTTAAAGAATATGATTTACAACAATGTTTTAAGATTAAACAAAGCTTATGTACAGTCCAAGAGTTAAGTAAAGGTATTTTAGCTAGTGCATGTTTCTTAAAGAACTTTCTTTTGTCAATGAAATGCTAAGTCATTTTTTTTTAGGTATACTGTCTAGTATTAGAGATAAGAGAAGATGGGTAA